AAAGAGAAAATGAAAAAAAACTCAACTTTCCAAGAATTTTCTAGCTGACCTTAGGAACCACAAACCAGACACATCCCGAATGCAACATGACACCAGGGATTGAAATCACGAGTTAGTGTCAGTTAATAACAAAGGATTCATAAGTGATGGTTCGGTAAATGTGACTTGCAGAAAGAGCAAAGTCGAAAAAGATGAAAATAGTACCTTTTTTTCTTATAATAAATGTTTCACACGCTATGAATGACAGACTTTCAAATTCACGATAGTTCTGAAAATATGCACGATGAAGATGTTAAAACTGTTACCGTGAATGGTAGATTTAAGCGTCGGAAATGGAGTTATCATTTTATTATTAATACCACCAGTGACCTTCACTTGCAAGAGTCCACGACCTGAAGAATGACGATCGGTTTAACCAATGTATATTTGCCAGTTTTTGTCTCATTATCTTATCATCAAATATGTTCCGGCGGGATAAACAAATGTGAGGATATTTATCAAACTTATCAACCAACATGTGAATCGTACCAATAAGATATCAAATAATGATAATAATAATATGAAAATAAGAAAAAAAATGTGATAAAACTCTACGGAATTCACAACCAATCTTTCGAAAAATCGTAAAATACACCAATTTCATGTAAAAACGTCAGTGAATGTAGTTATGCCTGTGATGTTTACAAAATTTACCATAAGTTCACAAACAACTAGGTGATATGCTAGGCTCTAAGCTCTAAACATTACTTTAATTTGCCTTCAAGTGATGTAATGCAACTAAATACTGAGGATAGTAATTTGGTTTCTAGGCTCTAAACATTACTTTAATTTGCCTTCAAGTGATGTAATGCAACTACACATTTGAATCACAATCCAGGGTACGTTGTATGGTAGTATTCACATTTTATTTGTTGTATTATTAACAATAAGTATACATAGAGAAGCTGCTAAAGATTAGATTTATTAACGAGATTATGCTATATATATATATATATATATATATATATATATATATATATATATATATATACCAAGTTTTAATATATTTATACTCGTTTTTAAGTTGCTTGATAATAAGAAGCAGGATAATTATTTCATTCATATTATTGAATATTACTATATGAATAACCCGTTTTATTAAATCAGCTTAATCACATGGTCCATAGAACATATTTAACTCCTTTTGTTAGCTGTTGGTATTTTTAGTGAAAATACGAATATTTAAAGATATATAATTTAACTTGCAATGAAGACCACACGTACACATAAACACACGTATCTATCCATTTCAAGCTACGTTATTACATCACAGACCGCACAAAATCATGCTGATGGAAAACTGGCCATGAACAATATACTCTCCCAGATTTGCGAGAACCACACACAAAACACAGCACTTTGATATTTTCAAACTATGTTGCATCGCATACAGCATACACACACTTCTTGAATATCAAAATACTTTGATATACAAAATAAAACACCCCTACAATATAATTTCTTCTTGTGACAGGCGTTTCATTTCACTTGTGCTTTCACGTCACTGTGCTTGTGTATTTGTTGATGCAGAGCTGCCCTTTGCCCCATCACACTACTGACGCTTATATCAGCTCCACCCCCTCGCAGATCCGAAGCCTCCTGTGCTGGTGAAGAGCTGGGTGAAAGGCAAGTGTCCGTCCGGTGACCCTCTTGCGGGCTTCTCGAGTATGAGGGCGACTGTGCAAGTGGCGTACGAGGTCGAGGGCGAAGGAGGAACACTCAGAAAGGAAACCTTCGTGGTGAAGCTCATACCCACACTTGGTTTCATGTCGTAAGTATTGAAAAGAAGGCTAATTTGTGAGATTCATACCCACACTTAGCTTCATGCTTTGTGAAGTTCGTGCACATACTGATTTTAAGTCGCAAATTTTGAAGAGAAGCCTTCGCGTGAAGCTCATCTTCACGCGTGGCTTCGAGTCTTGCGGAGCTCGTACCTACACTGGTTTTAGGACAAATGTGTAACCCTCATGTCATTTTCTTCATCACATCCATATTCTGCCATCCTTCTTCCGTCAATAAAACGCAGACATACTTATAAAAGCATATATATGTGCTTAAGCACCAGTGTCCGTATGTATTTCAGTTTCTCGTGTAAACCGTGAAATCGTACGCATGGTAAAGTTCTGATGACAAGTACTTACGAACTTTGTACATGCCTCACTGTGTCAGGTTCATGCTCTGTTTACTTTGGTTTCTTGTACATGGAGTGCTTATCCAGGAGAAAATGCAATCTATTTGTCTTTGTTTGAATGTCAGTGAGTTCTTGCGTGTGTGTTTATACATGTGTGTGTGTGTGTGTGTGTGTGTGTGTGTGTGTGTGTGTGTGTGTGTGTGTGTGTGTGTGTGTGTGTGTGTGTGTGTGTGTGTGTGTGTGTGTGTGATATATATAAAGATACACACATATATATATATTATACTATACAAATTACGAACATTTAGACATTAATCTAATACCCACTGATTATGAAACCCATTAACATTTCTGTAATACGCCAGGGAGCTATTTTGGTTTCAAAACCAGGAACTCTTCAGCTGAATTTCGAAACCCAGTGCCACTCTCGTACCATTCCAGGGAGCTGCTGGTATCGGAAGGGATGCACCACAACGAGGTGGGTCAGTACAAGTACTTCCTCCGGTCCCTCGCGGCGTGGGAGGCGGAGCGGAGGGGCGTGTCCTGCGGGGTCCTTTGCGAGATGATCCCCCCGCACTCCCTCGCCGTCAGCTGCGATCAGCACTTCACACTCGTCCTGCCAGAGCTGCGGGAGCTCGGCTACACGGTCAGTAAGAGTGAGAGAGAAACGAACGGGGTGCAGTCACATTTTCCAAAAGTTCTTCGAAATATGGCAACGTCCAAGCCCTTGCGAGGGATTTCGTGACGTGAAATCGAATAAATACATATATAATATATGATATATATATATATATATATATATATATATATATATATATATATATAATAAACACACACACACACACACACACATATATATACTTATGTATACACAAGACTATATATATATTATATATATATATATATATATATATATATATATATATATATATATATACCGTTCTTTCTTCTGTCTGTTTACTTGTCTGTCTGCTAGCAAAATAATAGTTTTCATCGATTAATGTTGGTTACAATCAGCATTAACTACCGTGTTTTTAATGTTGTGAACCTTAGTTTCTATCATATGAAGGGCATACTACAGTTAAAAACACAGTATTTTCCTAAATAGTACTTGAAATCAAAACAGAAATGAGAGGCATTTGGATACTCCCTTATTTCCCATAAAGGGATGCAAGAAATAGCAAAAATAAAGAATTCCTCAATCACTAATCCATTTTAATCTTTAAAATTGCCCAACGATGGTTTTGTTTACTGTCTTTACACACAGATGGCACCACATGTATTAAGTCACCAATGTGCCAGTTATTAGTATTACTTTATCTCACCTATTTACCCTTTTCCTTGATTTTCGGAAATATTTTATTTTATTCTATATTCCTATTATAATATCAATAACATTATAATAATCATAATGTCTATAATATTAATCATTATTATTTTGCATCGATATTGATAGCATTTGTTTTCAAAAATCCCGAAAAATGAAAGGTGAACTCAGGAGAGGTCACTAATTCTACAAACTGTCCCTTTGGTGGCTGAGAACTTGTGGAGCCGTGTAGAATTAGAAAAATAATACTACAGTGAACACTCTTTTTTCCCCATAATGTTCGGAGTCAAGGCTTCACTATAGCATGGACTCATGATACCTCATGTTAAACTGCATTATCATTCTTATCAACTCATATATCAAGCTGGCAATAGTGGTTCCCCGTCACATCTTAATAATGTACTTTATTTCTTTTAGTCTACTGCTTTCGAATGTGTAGGTTATGACATGATTCATTGGTGAGCCACTGACATTTATTAGGTTAGGTAATACACTACTGTCAAAAAAAAAACCCGTCAGTTCCATTATTTATTTTTTTTTCCTTTATCAAATTTATACAGATAAAAGAGAGAGAGAGAGATTCATAATCTAAATACGGAAGTATTTAGGGAAGCCAACATTAGGCTGCAGTCTTCAGAAGATTGCAAACCACTAATCTAGCCCAACACAGCTTCTCCATTCAACCCTTTCTCCCCTAAGCCCTGTAATCTGCAATCGACTTCTGCGATAAACTCTACGGAACGAACACGCCCAAGAATAACAACTCGTTTTGCGTCAGAGTAACACTTACTTATACATCTTGCTGGCGAATTAATATATGTTCAAAATACGTTTTTTTTTTTTTTTTTTTCATTTTATATATTTCATTAGCTTATGTTATTCTTAATTATTATCTTCTGTATATGCACGTTTGTATGTGTGCGTGTGTGGATGCGTGTGCGTGTGTGTACGAGTGTGCGTTTTTTTCTGTACCTATTTAACTTACCAAAAACTAAATTTGTGCTAAGCGATGAGCGTAGTTAAAGTCATCTTTAGGAGTGGGGTCGTATAAAGAAACTTTATAAGGCTATAAAAGTGCTCTCTATGCTACCCTAATGAGGGTCTCGAGGCTGCTCTACAGGATGAGGATTTTGGAGAGTAAATACACTATTAAAAATCTCAGCTGCTTAATTACTTTGCTTAAATACGTTTAAAAGTCACAACGCTTTCTTTCTAGCCATGTAAATACTCATTAAAGTCAAACCTGTATATTAATTTACGCAAACACAAACGTATCAAATAAATATCTAGCTTCTGCTCCATCAGAAGTACAGTTTTCAGTCGCCATCCTGGAAGCGAAGAGACACGGAAAAGGAAAAATCGCAGCAGTTGGAGATATAGTTCCACTTTCCTGAAAGTATATCTCCCGGAAGGAACTAAATGGCTCACTTCCTCCCCTCCCTCATGCTGCGACCTGTAGGCGACCAACATGCCTACGGGTCTGGACGAGGACCAGATCATGGT